CGTTGACTTAGGGGATAATAAGCTGATGGTGAGACTTATAGTGCTCTGCATGCTTTAATGCTCCCATGGAGCTCATGTCTGTGTGACTCTCCGACAGCGTGCAGAGCTCCTGGAGAACATTAGAGGCTGAAAGTGCACTCCCGGACACTGCACTTTTCAAGCCGTCTTGCAGCCCGTCTGTGGATACGACCCCCTCCCTTTTCGGTCGGCTGAATACGACCCCCTCGTTGTTCTTTGCGCAACGCAGGGTTGACCCTGCCTACGCAACCTCTATCAAGTCCACGTCACTTCCGGTGACACGCCTACCCCAACTTACAGATCTCGACTGTATATCATGCGACCGCACAATCAGTATGTACCTGCTCGCACTCGGATCGAAAAGCGGTCATTATGTATAACCGCATCCGTATGTGCAAAGACGCGAATTCGCTTCTTCCGCGCTGACTTTGGCGGAAGCACGGGCTACTTCAGGGCATTGATCGAAAATTCCTTGATTTTCCAACTTTTAAAAGAGTTTTGAATTGTCGTGAAGATGCAGAGACACTGTCAGACTAGATTTATAATCTTGGCGAAGAATTGTTCGTGTGGCCTCATGGGCTTTTTTTTCATCCTCTCATGGATAATGACTTGAACGTTCTTTTTTTTTAAATTTTTTGGCACTGAGATCGATCAGACGTAGTTTTATCACCTGTCACATCTAATACGAAATTACGAAATTCACAGAACAAAACCCACAGCCTCGTATAATATATTGCCTTGGCAGTTTTTGTGATGCGCGAGTTCTAATCTGGTTGAAAGGCGGTGAACTCATTTCTAGGAGTGCCCTTGTCGAGATCATGGGAGTTAATGGCGTTTCCGATGACACTCCTCCCTTTCCACTTCTCTATGAGACATCGCCCTGAGTCAGCGACCCATGGTCAACTTCCAGGCACTATTCATACCCGCTTATACTTGAATTTGACGAGATATGCTCCGATTTTTTTTCTTGGGCCAACAATGTGACTATCCACGTCATCGTTCGTGGTGTTTCGTGTTGGATAACATCTTACTTTAGGAGTCCATTACTTTCAGAATGCTTTTGCTCATCGCACGGTCAGTAAACATTAATTTTTAAAGAAACGACTTCCTTGACCTATTTTTATTCTTTTTAGAACAACTTGAAAGAGTTACGGATAGGAGGAGTCTGAAGAGATGGTTGGTGTAAATCCTTATGAATTTTGGTGAAGTGAAAATTCTCCTATATAGTGAAGGTTTCCATTTATTCGATGAGACCACTGTAATTTTTCACTTAATGTCATCAGTATTAGGAAACCAGCTAATACTGAAGCTCAGCCTACCTGTACTTTTGAGCTGATCAGTCATCGCTAAGTTGCTTTCTTTGGACGACGCTCGGGTTTGAGAGGCTGCACACGTTGAGTCTAGGTAAAATCCTTACTGGTATTCTTAAGCTGTAAGACGGGCGGTAGTACTCATCCTGCTGATGCTCTGGTGTTAGCACTTTTGGGGGCGAAAGACGCAAAGCATTGTCGACAATATTCATGCCAACGCTAATGCAACCTACTGGCGTCACTGAACAAAGTTGTAAACCACTAAAACAACGCTACAGGCTACGAGCAAGTGATCTCTAGAATTATTGACTAAAGTAAACCACCTACTAGCGGAAATTGGTACTGAAAATGTCTAAGTATAACGCCGGAAATCTCGTGCTCTCACTTGGAGAGTTGATAGTGGTGCCAAATTCCATGAGGTTCATATTGTCACCAAGCTACTCCATTGTCCAATGGGGCATTGATGTACCATCTTTGACGACTTTCATCACAACACCCTTCTCATCGTATCTGGTTGGTTCCTTCTGCTTTGGTCGTACTTATCAGACCTGTAAGCAAGGCAGTTTTCCAATGCAATAGCTGCAAAGCATCCGTCACATTCATCACTTTTGTTCGTAGATGTCGCAACTGCTTTACCAGAACAGTTTGTTTTTGTAAAAGCCTGATTCTCTAAAGCTCAGAGTTATTCCCATCTCGTTTGCGGTTCTGATGCTTCCACCTTTTCTCTGTTACCCTTCTCGGTGATGTGTATTGTTGTAGATGTATTGGTGTTATTCACTGTTTTCATCGTTTTGAGATTGCAAAGTTTCCGTATCAAGGATTTTAAATGTCTTAGCGAGGGTATTAAAAATAGTTTCTTTTTTGATTTGCAGTATCTTGGCCAGTCAATCCATTGAATCTCTATCGCAGGGTCACTGTACAGCGACTTCAGAATACTGAATGAATCTTTAAAAGTTAATATCAGTGTCCAAATTAGTTAGTCTGCCGTCAACACAAGAAATGTCCAAAATTAAAGATTATAGCGAATTTGCTTCATTATTTCTGTGCGGCTTTTTGGATAGATGTAAGTACACGTGTTCAATCCGATATTGATCAGCCTTGATGTTACCTTTACATTCCATTGAATACCCAATGAATCTGCGCTCTCTCGAAATTGACGTGGCACAGCACGTACAGAATTTGTTATGTACATAGATACATGTGTCTGAGCCAGAACTACTATATTTCAGGTCATGTTTTCATTCCCCTTTTTGGCTTTCGTAATCGGAAAGGGTCGCCCATTAGATAATGGCTAAATGATCTAGCGGTCTCCGCTAGATATTTAGCGCCATTCACCTACTGCCAGTAATCATGGGCCGCCTTCCCCACTCGCGTTGTCTTCAGCTTTTGCAAACTGTTGTCTAGCTGGTCATGACATAGCCACTACTGGAGCATGTTTTATTCTTCTCAAGACCAATCATACCTCTACAAACATTATTATACTGGCCTCAGATCCTCTACTCTTTTTGAGGGCCAGTTCTCGGGCCGATGGTCTATGGATGTGCCATTTCTCCTATAGATAGAGACAGCGAATTAAGAGAGTTGGGTGTTGCGGATTCGAAAGCACCTCGACTGAGTTCCCCGGCGTGAAGGCAAATTTTCGATAAACTGAATCAACATCGACCACCGTGACCCAATGAGCGCTCCATCTCTTTTCAAACACCCCCTTTCTTATGTTTTCTCCCCACTTCTTTTCTCTTTCTTTTTTTTTTCTTTCTTATGGTTCTGTCAACTTTCGGGTTTCTTAAAACTGGGTTTTGGTCACCTGTTGGCCATTTCTCATAAAGCTAATGGATTAAAGGAGAAGAAAAGGGAACGAGACAGAAGAAAGCTCGAGCGCTTTTCCTACTTTTCCTTTGCTTACGTGATGTCAGGCTTGAATTCTCTTACATTGCTGGATAAAATTAAGCTTTTTTTCAGGTTGTTGCCTATGCTCTTTGCTGCTTGTCTGCTCAGTATATTAGCACATCAATGTTGAAACGGTCCAAGTGTTCTCTTAACGAGATATCGCACGACGCTGCAATAAGTCTAATACATGATGCGCTTTCATCAAAAGTGAATGTGGTGGAGGTAAATTACAGAAAAATTTTGAGAGCACTTTTCCTTTTGGATTTTTTTTTCCTCATTTTGAGGGTATCTTACGTTTTCGTTTGTAATTTGTTGGATATAGCGATGTGTAATTGTAAGTACATTGCAGATCAAGGTGGATACAGTAGGGCCCAAAGCAACGTATCAATCCAAGCTTGAGAAGATTTTCCCTGGAATCTCTATTACGGTAACTTTTCGATCTCTACAACTCCAGTTTTTTTCTTGCGGATATCTTAAAGGTTAGCGATGGCGCACTCGTATTACAGGTAACCGAAAAAGCTGACGCTTTATTCCCTGTTGTTAGTGCTGCATCTATAGCTGCTAAAGTAACGCGTGATCGTCGTCTTCGCTCTTGGAAATTCGCTGAGCCTGGCGTGAAAATTCCTGCTGACGGTTACGGCAGCGGATATCCAGGAGGTTGGTTTTTCGTCGTAGTGTCTGTCCTGAAATTGCTTCTGAATTTTCGTTCATTTTCGTCATACCAGCTAGCTGTTTTCAGACCCTAACACGAAGAAATTTTTGGTCGAAAGTTTGGATCCCATATTTGGATACTCTTCTTTGGTGCGATTCTCGTGGAAGACGGCTGAGATTATAGTTGATAAGAATTGTGTAAAGGCTGAGTGGTGAGTTGAGGCAGTAAGCTTGATCGTTCATATGTTTCTAATTGATATTTTCTGGATTTGCAGGGAGGAGCCGGAGGCTGGCGCACCTTCTGTGAAAGGATGGCTCACTTCAAAAGCTGACTTGCCTAAAAGGCATTCATACTATACGGATAGAAACATTCAGAATGTTGCATCTTTTTAAGGGTCTTAACTTTTTCACATTTCACATTGTGTCTGTTGGGGGTTTTCACACTTATGTTAGTCTTTTGAACGGCTCATTATGAACTTTGCTCATTGTTCATTTAGAAGCTGAGCTTCACTTAATGATCTCCTTGATGATTTGACTTGATAATTTGCACCCCTTTCTCGTCTCGGTTTCTACAATTCGCTCACTTGGCTTTACTTTTCTTAATCTTCAATAAATGGTTATCTCATGATAAAATGGTGCCTTTATTGGTGATACTCCACAATATCTTTCTTCGTGTTCATCCAATCAAACAAATTGAATGTGTGAACCGCTATCATTTTTCCAGATGGGGTCTTGGTTCAGCCTGACGACGCTTTTAACACTTTTGACAGCATATTGTATTGGGCACATGATCAATACTTTTTATAAGATATATTCCGTCCCACATTGTAAGAAAGGACTCGCTTGTGGGAAGGTAAGGATTCGGATTCATTTTCATTGTATAGTTTGCCTTACAGCTGTGTATTCAAAATCATTAATTCATTTTCCATGTCTTCCAGCCACTTCTACCTATTCAAAAAGATGGAAAATTCCCATTGATCCAATTCCGAGTGCATTCTTCCGCCAAGAGTTTTGCAGTGGGGAGAATGGAGAAATTGGTCAACGATTTCCAGCTTGCAGATCCACAGGACATAGAGGTTTGCTTTTCACTGAATTTCAATTTCAATTCTTTTCTGTTTATTTGACTGGTTTTAAGTTCTACATATTGTGGTTCTTTCAAAAATAGCTTATGATAATGCAGTTCGTTCTCACAATAGGTGTGTGCCAGAGGCCGATGTCAGACTTTGCGATTGGAGCGATTTTGCACCAATTGCAGGAGCGACGGATCGCTCCAAAGTGCGAGCGACGGGAGATTTACCCCGCCGACGCCGATACACACGGCGCCGCTCGGGTAAATCTCCCGTCGCTCGCACTTTGGAGCGATCCGTCGCTCCTGCAATTGGTGCAAAATCGCTCCAATCGCAAAGTCTGACATCGGCCAGACTCATCCTGATATTACACCCCCATCCACTTCGAATTGTGGAGGAACTGCGTACTGCCTTCCCCTCCATGAAATCGAAGGGCTGGATCAATTTTTGTGTCGCATTTTCTGACATTTTTTGACAACTGGTGTTGTTCAGTCCTCCATTTGCGCTTTTTTGGTTAAACGATTTCCATATCGGAACAAACCACTCTTATTTTTGTACACTTGACCAACGCAGATGGCGTCGAAGCGTCTTGCGGTCATAGTCGGTCTTCCGTTCGTAGCGATCGCACAGCATTGGATGCGTATCGATCGTTAGTTGTCCGAGCATTGGAATATCGATACGTATCTAACGCTGTGCGATCGTTACGATCGGACGACCGACAATGAATGCGCCCTATCTTTTAGGCTTCTTCAAATACCTTCACTTTTCCGAGTAAAAACAATGAGGGTATCCGGTGCGCATTACGAGAGAACAACGAATACATTAACTGATGTCAGGCAACCTTGTTACCTTCCATTCCCATAAATATTTTAGGTGAATGTTACGCTCCCTCATTCAACAAGACAGAACGGCTCCATGTTTTTATATTTCGTCTTCTTGCCGAACCATACTCCAGAAAACATAGATCATATTGTAGGTATCTTTAATACTTTCTCTGCTGTAGTACTTGTCATCAGAGATCATATTCGTACTTTTTTCGTTTAGAGGACACGGTGGTATACTCTACGAGGACTCCAAGCAAGCGCACATCGTGAGCCAGATCGTACGTTCAATTTGATGAATGGACAACTGCAAGAGGTCGTATTTGAGTTCCTCATTTTTTTGAGCAATTGATTGCTTGACTAATGAGTGTTCACAAGGGGCCTTTCGTGAAATTTTCATGAAGTTGGCTTTTTGAGACATTGTTTGAGACAAGCTGCTTTTAAAGGGCAAAATCTAAAATTGTCTCATCCTCCGTTCCGTTCTATATTCTAGAAACTTCCACCTTCGGACCGTTGTAAATATAATGAGTTTGGAAGACTCTCCCGAGCTTTCTCTTCCTGAACTGCCCGAGATTGCGTGAGTATTGCTAATGCGAAGTCTTTTCTTTTTCTCATGGGTTTGAATATTTTCCTCCTTTTTTCAGTTTGAGCGGAGATAAAGACGGTTATTATCCTCTTCTTTATGTAGCTGAGTTACTTAATCGTGAGAAGGATCTGGTTGAGGTCAGTACTATTAGCTGATTATCAAAAATTTCTTCTTGGCAGTCGATCGGAACATTTTATAAAATCTGTACCCAGAACTTACGCGTATTGCTAAAATATGTTTTTCTCAATCTGTTACTTTTATGTGTGTACTAGAATATTTTTCTCACGAGTGTGGTTATGGGAGATGCGTAGGGAATATTCCTTATCACTGAGATGCTGAGTTGGGCCGATTTCAGACTTTGCGAAGTCTGACATCGGCAGTAGGTGGATGTTAGGTTCGGCGATTACGCAGTCGCGACTGCGTTGTCACGATAGCAAATTATGGTTGTCGCAATTCTGATGCGATGTAGAAATCGCGGCGATTTTGGTGCGATGCCAAAGTCACTAGCGGGGAGTGCATGATGCAAATCTTATGGATCTATCGACCCAATTGGCGAACGCTGTCGCTATACCACATTCGCCGACTCTAACATCTCTTACGAGTTAAACACTGCCTTAAGCTGGGATCGAACCCGCACACCTCTTTTTCTATGCAGTAGTGCTACCCCTTGCAACGCCGGGACGACGTCTCTTTTTCTCTTATGGTTAGCTGTCCGTGCTATATTTACTACAGCTTGTCAGCAACATCGTCCTGGTGGTGGAATAGGTTGCAGAGCTGTCAGGAGATGTGCAAGTTTGTCTCTCACCTGTTACAGAATATTTTGCTTATAGCTTAGCATCCCGTGATAAATAATGCGCTTCAAACTACGCTAAACATCAGAAGTAACAAAAAGAAAGGAATCGCAGATTTTGTCTTGTGTTCAGTTCGTCAATAACAGATGTCTTCAGTTTATTAACTTCCTATAACATCGAACTGATTTGTTTAGATGAAGAAGAACGATACCCATATGATCGTCACAGTCAAGTATTCTCCTGTTCCACTTGGCAAAGTCAGGTTCCACACCATGATCTCATCTTCTTTGAAGCAACTTCTCGAGCTTGGATTTACCCAAAAAGATCTTGAAGATGTGAGCTTCACTACTACAAAATTACTTATTAAGAAATCTTCGGGATACAAAAATGGGATATAACTTGAAGTCGAAGGAGGGTAGATTAGGTTAGCTCAAGTGAATTTGAAGCCGCACTTCCTTTGAGGCGACGCGCTTGGTATACTGCGCCATTTGCCATTAGGCTGGTTTGTTTATGTGGCGATAATTGTTGAGTTTCCTCAAATTATTTCTAGTAATCATTTTATTTAGGTAAAAGCTATTTTTGGAGACACTAGTCTCTACCTTCTTGGTGTAACTGTTTTCGTCTCGTCAATCCATCTTCTTTTCGATATACTGTCATTCAAGAATGACATATCCTTCTGGCGTAGCCGCGAATCCATGGTTGGCCTCTCGTCCAAGTAGGTGCTCGGCTGTCGTGTGTGGAGTGGCTATTCTTGACTAAGGATGTTTGTCTCATCTCAATGCCGTTCCTCTTTTAGGGCTCTGCTGTGGCGATGTTTTTCGTATACAGTTATTTTCTTCTATCTTAAAGATCAGAACACTAGTCTTCTTGTGATTGTTCCTGCTGGAATCTCCGTTCTTATTGAGTTCTGGAAGTTGAAAAAGGCTTTCAAGGTTAGTGGATGCTATTTTTGTTGTACATTTCCTTTTGTCGATGTTGCTTGGAGTTGCTTTCAATACAGCAGGAGCTTTTCATCCTATCAGGTTTTTAGGCCGCATATGCATAAGCGCGCTCAGTAGTACAGGGCTTACTTCATCTCCTGAAATTCTTGCGCTGAAGCAATCTTGTGATATGCGATTGTTTCAAGGAGACCAATGAATCTGAAAAAATTCAATTTTTTCCTGAACTATGTGGAACATATCGAAGGAAGGTTTCCTCCGAGTCCGGTCATAGATCAAATTTCGAAAATTGCAGTGGGAATACGAAAAAAATACATGGTGTCTGTGCAAAGCATCAGTGGCGTTTTTTGGAGTTCAGTTGAATATTAGATTTTAAATAGTTTCTCTTTTCACAGGTGACGTTCACACGGCGTGGATTAAAGTTTGGAAAGCACTCAGCCGAGGAAGCGGAGACCGATGCATTCGATAATGAAGCTATGAAATACCTGGCATGGCTGATGACTCCTCTCTGCATCGGAGGAGCCATTTACAGGTACGAAATAATGAACTACCTTGTACGAAACAATGAGCTGTACCTTGTAGATTAGATTGGTTTCCTAATATTCGAATATGGAGGCATATGCAGGGAAAGGGAGGGGAAGGCAAAATGGTAGGTTCACCAATATTTTTGTGCCGCTACGACATGATCTTTTACAATTCAATTGTGACATGAATATTATTTACTACGAAGATGAAATTTCGAAAAAAATTTGCACTACAGCGCGCATGTAAGCGTGAAAGGTTAAACTGATGTGATAGCTGGAATAGACAATTTTTTAGAGCAGTGAAGAAAGCTGGATTTTCATCGATAAAGCTGATTATGGAGTATTCGACCTCGATATAGAAACTATTGGTTGTGCTTAATCGTGTTGCTCCACATTGACTCATCTGCGGGCCAGCTTGAGATGTTACCACATAAGTCGTGGGTACAGCGGGTGCTGAGTCGTATGGCAATGGAGTCTATGCGTTTTGGCTTCTTTGTTCATGCTACCCTCAGTTGTTTGCTTATTATAAACTGAAAAAGTGTTGGACCGATCTTTACCATTGGAGAGTTACATATAAGTGTATGGGCAGATTTTTTGATCGATTCAAATTCAATTTTTGATCGACCAAAATACTTTTAATGGCTTTATTCTATTTCTTCCATTTATTGCGTATCGCAATTGTTTCCCGTTCAGGCTTTCAATACCTTCATCGATGATCTGTTTGCCTTCATTATAGTCATGCCAACTTCTCATCGAGTTGCATGCTTTCGGTTAGTTACATTATCACGGTACTTTTCTTATCGTTCGGTTATCATTGTAAGTTTTCAGCGATGATATCGTGTTCCTGATCTACCTATACCAGCGCTATCTTTATCCCGTCGATTACACACGAATCAACGAATTTGGCCAGAAAGGGCGAAGAGACATCAGATGAAAAGAAGAGTGAAGATAAGCCCACCACCCAGCTGGCGACTAAATCCAGCGACGCAAAGCCTTCCGACGACTCATCTGAAAAGATCAAACCAAGGAAAAAGTTGGCTAAGAAAATTGACTAATCTCGCCTGTGATAAAGCCACTTTTTCTGATGCAGGTGCACTTTTTCTGATCTGTGATTATTTTTTTTTTGATTAAGACGGGATTAAATACAAGTTACAAGGGGTTTTAGAAGCAGAACTGGTTTAGTTTTTATCGAAGCTATTATTCGTAGCTCTTTGTCAAATTTTCCCGTCCCAGTGTCGGGTTGTGTTTTGTCCCTTTGTATATCGAAATTAAGAATTTTACGCTAAAAATTTGGTCTGGTTACTGGTCCTGCTACTTGTAAAAAATACGTTACTTGTCGCGAACGGTGAGCCCGCTTCCCAACTCCATCGGCCCACCACGCTGCCTCCTGAGCGCCCACCAGGAGGAGCGGACCCAACTTCCCCCCGGGGACACAGGGGGCGCCCGTCGGCAGCTCAACCTACTCACTAGTGGCCGACGGGCTGAACCTAGGTAAACAGCCCTACTAAACCCGAGTGACACACAACAGACCGATATAATTAGGGTAAACCCACATATAATACATAGAAAACACAATTATATTTACTAACATTTATTATGACGTAATAACTCACCATACTCCTCGAACTCCCGGGGTCACCTCTCTCAGAGGTGAGCCCCACCAGCTGACTCGACGTATTAGACCCCCACGTTGGCTCGGCTTCTTCTGGGGGCTCCATGCGGCCGACGTGTCCTATCTGGGATGTTGTAAGGGCTGCTCCCAGACGGGGAGCAGGGGAAGGACACGACCGGCTTTGGGATGACAGGCGCTCCGCCAACATGGACTACGGAGCGACGTGCCCCTTCGCCTTAGCTGGCCTCATCGCGTTGCCCGGTGAACACCGACCTGCCACCGGTGGCCAGCTCCTACGAGCACCGCCGCTACGGACGGTGCGCGTAGCGCCGACTA